TTGGGGAATACATTGCACCAGGAGCGGAGCCAGGATTTCAGGCTGGGGTTACATTAAACAAATGTTAATTTCAAGAATGATTAGAGATTTAAAGCTTTCGTGACTGCAATGATTCATCTTCTTTGGTTAAATAAAATAACACAATAATATTCTCACGACGTTTCGGCCGAAACGTCGTGAGAATATTATTGTGTTATTTTATTTTATCAATTTATTATTTTATTATCATTCTACGTGACTTTACCGAAAGAACCAAAGAAAATGATTAGAGAGTCAGGCTGTTGAACTAGACGCCATCGGTTGGCGACACACTCTGACAATGCAGTTGCACGGAGTCCGCCAGACCGAGTGTCGTACACTTATACGCAGAATGTCACCCCTGTCACCCCCCCTGGCTCCGCCCCTGCATTGCACTCCAGGATCTTCTTTTTCTGTGGTCCGACGAAGACACCGGCTCTGACCTTTGCCTCAGACAGCTTAGGGAAGAAGTCGTGAAGGTACTTGAAGGCTGCCGACTCCTAATCTACAGCTCTGACAAATTGTTTCATGAGGCCCAATTTGATGTCCGGTGGTGGCATCAGCACCTTCCGGGGGTCCACCAGTGGCTCCCACTTGACGTTGTTCCTGCTGTCCCAAAGGCAAAGATAGCAGGGAAACTTGGTAAAACCGCCTTGGAGATCCATCAGGGATGCCACCATTTTGAAGTCTCCGATGACCTCCCAGCCGTACTCATCATACTTCAAGGCGTCCAGCAAGGTCTTGATGCTGTTGTAATCCTCTTTGAGGTGCACCGAGTGAGCCAGGGGAAGAGACGGGTACTTGTTACCATTATGGAGCAGCAGGGCTTTGATGCTCCTAAATGAGCTGTCAATGAACAGGCGCCACTCATCTGATCTGCGACTTGCACACTTTCATCCAACAAGTTCCACTGCTTGAGCCTAGACGTCAAAAACTCGGCATTGGACTTGGTGAGACCAAGATCTCTGATCAAGTCGTTGAGGTCTTTTTGGTTGGGGTAGTATGGGTTTCTCTCCTCAGCTCCACCTCTGAAATTGTCATCTGGATCTGCAACGTCTTCCTCGCTCTCTGACTTACTGCTCTCTTCTAAAGACGGCTGCTCTCTCTCCGGAGGAGTGGGTACGGGGAGCTCATGGCCGTGTGGCACCGGGGCAATGGATGAAGGAAGATCCGGATACGTGATAGCAGGTGCATTCTTGCCAGTCCGACGTTTGGAAGGGTCCACCATGCAGAAGTAGCAGTTGCTTGAGTGGTCAGTGGGTTCCCGCCAAATTCTTGGGATAGCGAACTTCATGGCTCTCTTTTCTCCTCTGTACCATCCTACTAATATATATTTATTTAACCCATGACTAGCGTGTAATAGACTATCGCAACATTTTTCATCAATTATATGTTTCAATAACAATGAAAATTGTTTTTTTTTTTTACAAATTTTATAACATACAATTCTGAGCAACAATTATACATCTTACTTTACAGAGTGTTTTGCATTGCTCGCAGGTGAAATGAGGTGCCCAGGGTTTGTGTTGATCCCCGACAGGCATGCCGGAATATGCCTTGTAGGCCTCACACATCTGGGCAGATGCTTCCACAGAGTGAATGTTTCGCTCTTGTCTTGATAAATTGGCCGCAGACATCGCAAAATGCGTCTGCCGGATGCTTGCAGCCTCTTGATGCCATCTCAGAAAAATGCAGATTACGTATGTATCCACTTAGGCAGCTGGAACTAAACTAAACTGGTGGGCTTAAGGCCCCTGTATTTATACTACCATTCATATTACTGAAAAGTTCTAGAATGTTCTAGAAGTTACTCCAAGTTTACTCAGCACTGAATCTATCTGGAATGGCCTGGAAAATAGGTAAATTTCAAAATATCACTGTCCTGGTCACAAAAGCAAAGTTTGTGGGGAATAAAAGCCATTTTTTGTACCTTTGAGGCATAAGCAATTAGGAAATAACACTTACTACCCAGGAACCAAAAAAATGTTACACTTACAGAGCATATTTTGTTTGTTTAATGCAGACTTGATTCCTTGCAAAAGGTATCTATTTGGTGTTTTGAACATATAAACACCTGCATTAGGTCCACTTGCCGTTAAGGCAGGAAGAACGGAACTTTTGAATCTGCAGCCACGGTGGTCTGGAGCGGCCAGCCAAATGGAAGTTCGCTCAGCCGTGACAATCGGTGCCTTCAAGACCGGATCTAAAAAGAAAACACGTTTATTTTCTCTTCTGCTCCTCGCGTTTGAGATCAATTTTCTCGGTGCCATCCTCGCTGCCGACTGAACTTTTGATGGATATGGGGTGCGTTACAAATCTTGCGGATTGGTTCCTTGACAGCAACCAACATTAGCCATGTCTTTTAGTTCAATGCCACATGGCACGCACAATCCTGGAGGCTTCGTAGCCCAGGGGTCATCGCTCTTGCCGTCCGGTTTTGCAAAGTCAAGGTTCTAAACTAAACTATTTGTATTTTACCAGGTAAGGCCCAATGTGCTGTATATCTATTTTTCAGAAGCGACCTGGCCACAAATGATTGCTCAACGAAGTGGCGTACCACGTGGACATTTATAGCAGCCAAATACTCTAAACGCGTGATGTTGATTCTAAATGTGGAAGGAAAAAAACCCGGAGAAAATCCACGCGAGAGACATGCAACCTCCAAATATACAGCAGGCGTCAGGGTCGGGATCAAACCCACGACCTCCCGTATACCAAGCGAGGTAGTGAACATCTCGCCACCGTTCGAGCCCAGCAACCCCGCGTCATCGGTGTGTCTGCGTCAAATCCGCCACCATGGATTGCGGGCCCCACTGCCAAACCCCAAACTTCCCGGTTTCCTGCAAATAAATCGTAAGAGTCGGTTAATGAAATGCAACATTGGCATTGTTTCTCAAAGTGAAGTGGCTCGGGCAGAACACGTTGCTTGAACGGATGGTGGCCGACAGTCAAGACTGGTGACGGAGTGGCGGCCAGGCCATGGAATGTGTCTGAGCGAGGTCGTCGAGCGGAGAGACGGAGCAATGAGATCTGCTCGCGTGTGCAGGTGCTCGGTGAATTATTACATCGCAGGATCGTGAGAGACGGCGGCGGCAAGGAGATGTCTTCATGCAGCAGTGGATGGACCATGGTTGATGATGGTCATGATGGCATTATTTGATAAATACAAAAAATAGCAGTATTCTTAATGTATTGGTATAGTTACGACGTTCTCTTTGGCGAAGGTCAAAAATGAAAATCGCATGTGCTATGAAGAAGGTCCATTTCCCTAAAAGTCACCAAAAATATTATTTGTTACGTATTGTGCTGATTTGTTCTTATGTTTTATTTGTGCTTGTTCACACCACTGCCAACGCACTGCCACCACCAGCAGCACCACCGGATAATTAGTTTAAAATACGATGCTGAAAAGAGCTCGTCGTATCTGGCAGCGCAGTATAAAAGAACAGCACTCGTACGGCGCGGTGAGATTATGAATGAATATCGCTTTACACATTGCGGTTCGCGCTCTCTCTCTCTCTCTCAATTGCCTACAGTTGTTGGCCGCGGCTGCCACGGACAATTTAATTAAAACGCAACTCACCCCTTCTCCCCCCCCCCTTATCCTCTTCCTATTCAAAAAAGCCCTCGCTTGAAGCCCCCACCTACCCGCGCCAACATCCCAGAATTCGCATTAATGCGCGCGCCCGCTCAACGCCCCTGCGATTACTGTTGGCACGTCATCAACATGTGTGCACATATGACGGGTCGACCATGTCCAAACCATTTTATTGACCAAGTTCATTTCTATTTCCAATACTAATTTTTCATGAGGGTCATGATAAGTTTTACACAGGGGATGGTGGTGGGGTGGGCTATGATTGCTACGTACACTCCCAAGTTAATAATTTGTGGATAATGTATCTTGTTGTTGTGACGAAGGTGAATGTGCAAAGTACGGTCACTTATTTTGTTTTTTTTTTGTTTAACTTGCGAGTGGATTTAGCTGTAGGCTTAGCCGTCAGCTGCGGGGTTGGTTGCTCGAGCGCACGCAATCGACGCGTTCATTCACAATCGCGATACCAAAACTGACCAGAGCGATGGAACGAACGCAGTGAAGTGGAACGCAACGATGCATGGTGGTGAGTGGAGGGGGGGGTGGAATGGAGGGGGGGGTTAAGAATTGCGATAGAAGGAGGCACACACGGAACCGGGGCTAAGAACGCGCAACAAAGCCGTTCATCGTGCGGGAGTGCTGTAATTTTGGAGCTTCGAAGTGAGGTCCATCGCTACAAGATGACGGTGGTCCAGGGACGCGACTCGATGACGGAATTGCAGCCAATGGAGGGAAACGCGTCCAAGGAGGCAGCCACCGCAGGAGATGGAGCTTGGATATAATTTCGTATTTCCACGGAACTGAGATGGATGTTGTAGCAGCACTGGGCCGTGATGGAATGTCGACGGCGTTGATAGGGCCTTAGATCCAGCAGTGGATAGACATCAATTGCTGCTGTTGATGATGATGACAATTCTTACAATACCAAACAACGCATCGTTCTTCTTCGCTCGTTTGTGTCGAGTCAGCATCATTTCATTCACGTGGATGTTCGCCCTACCGCTGATCGGTGGTGTACAGCAGCAGCAGCAGCAGCACCATTATCATCAAAGCGTGCGACCTAAATAAACTTTCGGGTTTTAACAAAACCAAAAACATAATTTGGTGGGAGTCGCTCGCCCGTGCCAGCAACAAGCGTTGAGACTGCCTCTCTCTCTCTCTCGCTGTGGTGACGAATGCGCTCGCGTGCCTGGGGTGGGGTGGTGGGGGGGACGCGGTGGAGGGACCGAAGTGGGAGTGGGTGGGGTGGTTTATGGAAAGAGTGGGCGAGCTGTGGGGGTGGTGGTGGTGGTGGTGAGAGGGAGAGAGGGGGACTCGTCCTACCGCTGCTGTGCTGGTGGTGGTGATGGTGGTCTGTGTGTACGTGGGGCGGGCGGGGGGGGTTGGAGGAGGCGGGGCGCTGTAGAGGATAAAGCGCAAGTCTCCTCGCCTCTCGCCGCTCGCTCCGTGCCTGAGTCGACGCGTGCTTGCAGCCAACGCACTCGCTAAATGAGCGCGAGAGAGCGAGAGAGACATCGCGCCGAGAACTCAACTCCCCCCCCCCATCATCATCATCGCTCCTGCGCCGAGTCAGCTCCTGCCGTGTTCCGTGCAAGTCCATCTCGAGGGCCGGGATTGTGCGCGCGCGTGCGCTCGCTCCCAGCACTTGCCCCGGCATTCCGTGAAGGCTAGACGGGAGATCTTTGCCTCTGTGTGGGTGTTAGTAGCCGTGTGGACACTGCACCCGCGTGGAAAGACGCTCGCAACCTTTAAAGGTAAAACAAACGAACAAAATCACAAAGAGCAGAGAGTTAAAGAGCTGTTTGATTTGCGTGTGTTTATCGCTGTGGGCAGCGCAGTGCCAGGGCAATGATTTAGATCTTCGACACACACACAGAGAGAGGAAGAGAAAAGGAGCCGTCACGAGGTTGGGCGTCCCACGCTGCTTGAATTCGAATAGGGCCGTGAAAAGGGGGCTTGGACATCCATCATAGATGTTTGTGAACGGCATCGCCCGAGGAAGAACATAGGGCAATTCAAAACTTTACCGCTCTCACGGTCTCTGCCGTTCGTCGCGCATTGCTTTAAACAGAAAAAAAAGACTCCGCAGCCGTGTCGTGGAAGATGGCAACCGACGGGTTGCGTACGCTGCTGCCGCTGTCGCCGATTTAACGACGGAGAACGCCAGCGTCGTCGTCTCTCCGCTCGGCCGTCGAAGATCTGCCGTGACCTCGGTCAACCCCCAACAGGCCGACGCCGCAAAAAGCCCCAAATCCATGCGGCATGACCTCCCAACATCACTACAGCACGGCAACCCCGAGCCCGTACGCGAACCAATTTCCCCACGTGGCGGCCAACGGCTCCATGGACGATGACATCTCGAACGAAACGGACAATCAATTCGAGCAGGCGAGCTGGCAGGTGGCCGCCTGGTCGCTGGCCTACACGGCCGAGGTGGTGGTGGCCGTGCTGGGCAACCTCGTGGTCATCTGGATCATCCTGGCGCACAAACAGATGCGCACAGTGACCAATTACTTCCTGGTCAATCTGGCCTTCTCGGACGCGTCCACGGCCGCCTTCAACACCCTCATCAACTTCACGTACGCCATCAACAACGAGTGGTACTACGGGGCCGCCTACTGCCGCTTCCAAAACTTTTTCCCGCTGGCCGCGATGTTCGCCAGCATCTACTCGATGACAGCCATTGCCGGCGACAGGTAAGATTGAGCGCCTACACCAACACACACGCGCGCGCACGCACGCACGCGCACCCGTGAGATGGGGAGCGGTGGTGTAGTCGCGGTGAGCGCGCTACGTGCCCGGCCATCCGAGCATACGATGACGGCTAACACCTGTGACGATTCTCGTGAACCGGTCCTGGGCCCCCCACTAGGTTGACTCAGCCTCAGATGATGTATCTTGTACGGTGCCGTAAACATCGCGGACCTGCGTGGTGCTGGCCACCCACACCCCATCGTGTGCCGTGCCGGTAGCCTTCATCGGTGCTACTCGCTAACAGCACTTGCCCCAACAGTCTGTGAAGGCTATACGGGGGGGGGGTGTCTTTGTACTCAACGAACCTCAGCCAAGCGGCGACACCACATCGCGGGGAGGCCCCCGTCCAGCAGTGGATCGACAAGAGGCGCTGTTGATGTGACGTCTAATTCCGTAGCAATAGTCGGACACATCCACTGCAATGCCCTGACCACCGCGCCACTTGCCCTAACATCATCATCATAATCATTATTATTCCAGGACAGTTGTCAACGTTCAGTTCTTAGGTTAAAACTTGCGAGGATCTCGCGCAGCGAGGTGGCGCGATCTGTTGAAGGCGTGCCATACGGCAATTCTCCACACTCTTCCTCCTCCTCTGTGAACAACGATTGCTCTACCCAGGGCCGGATGAAGCTCGTGCGGGGCCTGCAGCATATGATGTTATAAAGGGGCCCTAAATAAAAAAAAATAAAGCATAAATATTAAAAACAAATGTTTAATTTGCATAGTAAATTAATTTTATTTTTTTCATTTGCTAGAGAGCCAGATAATACGACAAATCGCTAACCTTAAACATCCAGTCGTTCATTAAAGTTGAAGGCGGTATAGTACTATAGTAATAGAGCAAGTGCAGAATCACTGAATCGGAATTGATAGCTTAAAAGCATTTAGCGCGGGGCCCTTGAAAGTGCGGGGCCCGTAGCATTTGTAGCTACTTGTGTAGCTACTTCGATAATCCGGCACTACCCCCCCCCCCTCCCCATTTAGATGCACGTAAAACAGATAAAGGCGCAGCCCTGCAATTTCTTGGAATGGCTTCCACTAGACGGAGCTATTTCATTACAGAGAGCCCTCCCCTCACCCGACCCACCAAGAGGGTATGTCGGTTTACTCTTCAGCGCTGGCCAGACGTCTTGGACGAGGTCTGAGAACCCACACTTCACCCCACCACACGCCATCTGTCGATCGACTGCGATGCACCAATTTGTACTGCTGGGTGGACAGAGGCGATGGTTGGGTGGGGGCGGGAGGGAGATCGAACAGGCGACCTCGGGATTAGCACGTCCGGTTGTGCTAACCGTTACACTGCGACAGTAAAAGGACATCCACAGGATAGAAACAAAACACACACACACACACCTACGAGACTATCGGCATTCCAGACCAGTTTTGACCTCTTGTGGGTCGCACCAGCAGACCCTGGCGTGCTAAACAACCCGTGCAGATCAGATGTGGGCAGATAGGAGTTGGCGCGCGCGTGCGTGCGTGCAAGCTACATTGTTTGGCGCGCGTGTCGGTGCTGTTTGTTTGTCTCCGTTTTAATGAGTGCACCGAATCAACGAATGGGGGAGCACGCTGCTGCATTAACCGGCCTCGTGGCTCAGCGGTGAGAGCTGACAGGGGTCGGCAGCCTTGCGGGTCCGGAGCCGCACGCGGTTTTTTTTAAATGTCTCCTTCGCTTCGTTCCTTCGTTTCTCATCAGTCCGCTCGTCCTGGCGAGGGTCGTGGCGGCAGCGTGTTGAGTAGTGGCGGTCCAGATCTCGCTGTCCCTGGCGACAGACTCTAGCTCTACATCACTATATACTTCTACACTACACTATACACTACTATACACAGACTCTCCGAGGCGTTCCCAGGCCAGCCGAGCGACATCGTCCCGCCGTCAGCAGCAGCGTGCCCTGCGCCGGCCCCGGGGTCTTATGAAGGACCACGGCCTCGCATTCATACAAATTGAAATATTGAGGGTTTTTTTTCTTACCAAAATCGCAGCCAACAAAAAAGCCTCGACTTTTTAATTTTGTTGACGAGCAACGAGCTAGCGGCTGGGAAGCAGAAGATTGGCGAATTCTATGATACGGTTGGGGAGTGAACTCAGCTCATCATCACTCCGAGGTTGATACAAAAAATATAAACGAGTACCACATTCTGTGGAAGTCCGCAGTGGTTGTCCCACGGATAGACTCGTCCCTGCCATAGCAATGTGGACTCTCTTCCACTCTCTCAGGACTGTAAACGTGAGATGAGCACAGCCTGAATGACTCAACACATTCGTCAATAACACCGTGGCCTTAAAAGGATTATATACATATGATAGGCGACGTTTCGGGTAATGGCCCTTCATAGCACATGCACCTTTTTATTTGCGACGAAGGGACATTGCCCAAAACGTCGCCTATTATTATTATAGCCGTTTTGCTTCTAAGGCCAAACAGCATTATTGACAAATGCGTTGAGTTGTCTTCTGTTAATTGTGCTTGTGTATCACTGCCAACGTAAAAAGCAGCAGCAGCAGCAGCATCGCCAGCGACTTAGTTTGATTCCAGCAGGAGATAACTCTCGGACTTGCCACTGCATTGAACGATCCTGCTGACGAAGGACAGCGGATTCCCGAGCCAGCCCAGTGAGCTCCACTCGCTGGGGGGATACCCGGGCTTAGTCCAGTCCGTCTGTGGGGGAGGGGGAAGAGCTTCATAGCTCATCAGATTCCTCCAGTCTAAATAAAGATTCTGATTCTCGCCGTGTCTCCGTGAGGGTGAGTAATCTACTCCCGCCACCAGTATACAATGGACTGTTTCTTCACGCGCAATAATACCCATTGGTGCGGTCCAGTACACCGTTTGTAGCAAACGTGGTCCACTGATCAATGTGCCTGCTAAGTGGCACTTAATACGCGTCGCGATATTATTGAGCAGACTGAACTAAATGACGTGAAATGTGTTTGGTTATGTAATACCCTCGCGCGCACAGCACCTGAATGTATGAGCTTTGGTGCAGCGTGGAGCGGTGGTGCAGCGGTTAGCGCTACGCTGCGCTACGAACCTAGTGACCCGGGTTCGATTCCCGCTCACGGCCAACACCGGTGACGATTATCTGAACCGGTCCTGGGCCTCCCCTAGGTCGACTCAGCCTCAAATGAGTACCTGGTGCGACGTGAGAGCATCGCCACTGGGGAGACAAAGGCGGCCGGGCGTGGTGTTGGGCACCCGCACAGCGCCGGCCTCCGTAAGCGCTCGCTAACAGCACTTGCTCCAGCAGCCTGTGAAGGCTATACGGGGGATCTTTGTCTTGCTGTATTTGTTGCAGTGGTTAGCGTGCCGTGCTGTGAAATCCGGCAACCAAGAGTTCAATTGCCGGCAGCGTACAACCTCAGCAGCGAGTGTTGCCTGAAGCCACCCGAGGCATTCTCTCCCTCCGTGCACCCCACATCCACACGTGCTAGTGCACGTCGTGGGGAAGTATGGGGCCGGCCATAAATGACGTCACGCACCTTGGTGGGGGGGGGGGGGGGGGTCAGACATTTGTGACGATGTGTGACGAGGTGGGGGGGGGGGGGTTGAGAAATGTGACGTCACATCAAAATGCGCAACTTTAAATACATTTAGACAACACTTCCGATTTAAAGCTTTCGTGACTGCATACAATAAATTATCTTTATTTTATAATGTTTTATTTTTATTATTTTATTTCCATTCTACGTGACTTTACCGAAAGAACCAAGAAGATGTAGACAACACGTTCTACTTAATTAAATATACTTTTTAATAAATGTTTTCTCCTACAACATCATAGTGCAGCGGCACATTAAATACGCACTACATTGAAAATAGTTTAAAGCGATTTGAAGCATGTTTTATTTTGGGGGGGTGGGGGGGGCAGAGCTTTGTGACGTCATATTTGAAGGGGTGGTCTGACTTTTTGTGACGTCGTGTGACGAGGAGCAGGGGGGGTCAAAAATCGTCCAAAATCGCGTGACGTCATTTATGAACGCCCCCTTATGGTCAAACTCTCTCCACGAGCGACAAACAGAGAACGCATGAGCGATAGTCCCATCGCGTGACCGCTACCATTCCACTGCTGGATGAAAGTCTCCCTCCCAATAAAGACAAAACATTATTTATTGGCGACTGCGTGATTGACAACGGGCCGTACCTTATCGTCGTGTAGGTTTACGAAGCTCTCGCCGCTGATGTGCATCCAAACGTTTCCCGGGTCGCCTACTCCCGTCGCGAAGCGAGCCCGTGGCTAGCCTTGCACAGACGGTCCACAGGAGGAGATGGGGGGGGGAGATGAGCTGGAGATGCCATGGCGAGAGGCGGAGGAGGCGTGCACCCGTCAACAGGTGTGCAAAGCAGACCGCGATTCAATACCCACAGAGCCCTCCCGCACCATGCGTGACTTGAATACAACATGGTAGTCAGTCTCTATCCACCAATGGACGAAGGCTCCCTTCAAGTCCTCCCCCTCCCCCCTATAGCCTTAACAGACAGCTGGGCAAGTGCTGTTAACAGAGTAGATGTGAAGGCCGGCACGGTACGCGAAGGGGTAGGGTGGGCAATCAGAGCCGTCCCGAGGGTACGGCGAATCATGACGATCGCCCCGGGCCCCGTGCTTTGGGGAGCCCCGCGCGTTCCACGTTACGGCGTCAGATGCAATGCTCCAAGTTTAGTTTGAAATTTGAAGGTGTCGGGGGCTTGCCCCGGGCAGCGCATCCCCCCCCCCCCCCCCACTATGGACAGCTCTGGTGGCCAACGCCACGCCCGGCCGTCTTTGTATCCCCAGTGCCGATGCTCATACAGCGCAGCAGCTATTCGTTTTAAGGCTAAGTCGACTTACGGGAGGCTTCAGGAACGGTTCAGATAATCGTCACCGATGTCGAACTGGGCTCGCCGGGATCGTAGCGTAGTGCGCTAACCGCTGTACGTAACAATCCGCATCGTATACC